AGCCTGATGTGGTCAGCTACTACTACTAGAAAGTATTATTAAAAGTAAATTGACAGACGGCCGAGTGACTCAGTTGGTTAAGAGCTCGCTCAAGAGTGCGAGCTCTGAGCAACAGTGGTTCGAGTCCAGCCCGAGCTGAGCAGCCGCTGAGCTGCCAACAGGTAGCAGGATGGCTCAGCTAAAAAAAAAAGTAAATTGACAGAGACCCAGGGGCTGCTACAAAAGATGAATGGGGACAGTTGGGTTGTTTCTCTTTTTAATGAGAAGATGGAGATATAAAGCAAGTGTGCTAGAGCACCTGTGTCTAAAGTAAAAAGGCCGAGGAGCTAGCTGTGTGTGGAGTGGTGGGAGAGAGCGGGGACCTGACCACTGCAGATTCAAGGGAGGTGGGAAGCTGGTGGGAAAAGCCCTACAGAAAGAAGAGGTGATACCAGGAACTGTCTCCGCTTTTTTTTAGTTCCAGACCACACTTATCCAGACACAGGGGTATAGCTGTGACAGAGCAGGGGACTATAACGACTCGGTCAGGAGAGAGTCAGGGCATGTGTCAAGGAGTAACTGAAGATGAAGAGCATGGGGCAGGGCCCAGATCATGTCACTGTAAGGCGGAATTCCTCAGCCTTGGCACTACTGACATTTTGGGCTGGGTAATTCTTTGTTGTCCTGTGCATTATAGGCTATTTGGCAATATCCCTGGTCTATACCCACTAGATGTCAGTAGTAACTTCCTCCCTTGTTGCAGCAACAACAATAAACAACCAAAAAACCTTACTCCAGTCATTGCCAAATGTCCCCTAGGAAATCACCCACAGTTGAGAGCCACTGCTCCAAGGAGGATGAATTTTAACCTGTTAGCAAAGGGAAGCCATTTAATGATTTTAAGCACAGGGAGCAATATGATCAGATATACTTTTCACAAGGATGTGGCAATGTGGGGGTTGACTGTGGAGGGACAGACGGAGGCAAAAGGCCAGGCAGACCAATGACATGACTCTGGAGACCACCATGAACACGGGGACCAAGGCAGTGGAGATAGAAAAGGGGGTCTGAATGCAAGTTACAATGGTGGGTTAGACGGAATTCCTGGGCCCAATCAGATACAGCATTTGAGGGAAAGGGAGAAATGGTAAGAAGTACTTGTAGGTTTCTGGCTTGGCAATTTAGGTGGCTGTCGGGAGAACCGTTAACTAGTATAGGGAATTTAAAAAGAAGAGCAGGTTTAAAAATGAGTACAGTCTTAAACAGAATAAAAGTTTGAGGTAAGTGTAGGATACCCAGGTAGGGAGCTTAGGAGTTAGGGTTTAGCTAGCCAACACTTATACAGTACACAGTATGTGTCAGGCTCTTTACAAGTATTAGCTCACTTAATCTTAACCTCACCCATTGAGATACGAGCAACTACTGTCACCCCACCTTACAGATGGGGAAACTGCTACACAGAGAAGTTAAACTTCTCTAAGGATCCACAGCTAGTGAGCTTTGGAGCTGATATCGCAAACTCAGAGTCTGTGCTCTTAGCCACTACACTGTACTGCCTGCCTCTGGAAAAAAGAGAAAGATCAGGATTATCAATGTAGATTTGGATGGTTTCCCATATACAAGTGCATAGTAGGTGAAGTCACAGACATATCTGTGAACTCCCAGGGAAGATGAGCAGAGAAGAAGACGATCTAGAATGAAATACTGGAGAAAGTATCTGTTAAGCCAGAGGTGGAGGAGGAGCCAGGGGGAGGAGCTAGAGCGGGGGACGACGCAAGAGGCAAGAGGGGGCTCTTAAGGGCAGGAAGTAATGATACCTTTGTAACCCACAACAATCCCTTGCACATAATATGCTTTTTATAAATATTTTAATTGAATGACCCTATAATCCCAAATAATATCAAATATCCATGCTTATAGCCTATTCATAGTTGAGCAAAACCCAAATCATGTTTGTGATTTTTCTAGAATACTAGAATACCAAGAGTTCATGGAAGACACACTGCCATTAGATAGGAAATAGCTTAGACACCATATGAAATCATTCCTTACATTTATGCCCAGCTAAGGTTTTCAAAAGCTTTACTCACATCCTGCTTTCATAGCAATGGAACATGTTACTCTGTTTTGCATTTTGCTGAAGATCACATGAAATATTGGCTCTCCTAAATTTTGCAACTGACGGATACAAAATTGTGTAGTCTCTTCCCTAAAAGAGGATTTAGAAAATGTGTCTATGAAAGCTGATTACTTCTCACATGAAAGAGTTATAAAGCATCTGGTGTCTCCTGAGTTGCACTGTGTAACAAATCTTCTGTGCATCCAAACAGTGTTTGTTACACATTCCTTACCATACTTTACAATTCTATATCCTAAACACAAACATTTAGCAGAAAATGAGTTTCCTCAACATACAAAAAAGCTGGGTCCCATTTCCAATTCGAGACAAGTGTTTTCTAAGGAAATAAATCTTGATTTCCAGGCCCAAATTCGAAACACTTTCCAAACTTTAATGTGTGTACAAACCATTTGGGGGTTTCGTTAAAATGAAGATTCTGATTCAGTGGGTCTAAAGCTGGGCCAACAATGTGCATTCCTAACAAGCTCCCTCCTGGATGACACACTGGCTGCTCCACTGTGGCCCCTGAACCAGATGCACTGGCCGCGCTTGGGAACTTTTAGACCTGCCAGTTCCTCAGTATGACAAACAGGGCACACTAATATCATCTGCTGAAATTGATGATGCTCAAGATTTACGTTCAATTGTTTCCTTTAAAATCCATTTACAACTCATTCATTCATGTTTTCTTTTTGGTTATTACTGAAGATCAGGTCGTCTTTCCTCTCTATCGCTTTCATTATCCTAAACTGTGGCTCTGAGAGTGAAGCCACTCCACAAGAAGGCCCCACTGGGCTCTTTGAGGTTTCTGCCTTGCAATCCCTGTAGGCGCAGGTCCACAACGTGCCAACGCAGTGCGACTGGCTGTTTTCTAAATATAATCCATGCTCTCTCACCACACCCCCTCCTCTTTTGTTTGGTTTGTTGTGGTTGATACTTTCCCCTACTAGGCCAGCCTCCAGCGTCATCTCTCTACTCACCTTGCCTAATTTCTCAATGAAATGTGATCTCACTCTTCTCCGAACTGACTGCTCACCCTCACCACAGGAAATTTCCTTTTATTCCAACATTCACTGCGTTCTGCTGCACATCATATATGTTGGTCCTTGTCTTATCTTGGCTACTGCAGTACAAGCTGCTTGAAGGCAGGACTTTTTGTAACTAATTTTGACATTCCCTGCTTAACACAGTTCCTAATATAATGCCAAATAAAACTCCATTAAAATTAAGTAAAGCACTACTCTTTATTGATGACAAGCCTATTCTAAATATCCCCAAATCACAACTCTAAATCATATTCTCCAAATATGATTATTTTCTATTTTAGTCATCATATACAGAAAACTTGGCACAGTACTTTATTTGCATTTTTTTCTAACTCTTACACCTAGAAAAGCATGGTGACAAGTTTCTAATTTTTAGAAACTAAAGGCTCTTCAGAACACCTGGAAGAATCTGGGTATGAGGAAGCCTATGTTTACTTTAAATTACGAAGTTAGTGTTAGTCCAGAGTCAGTCAACTGGACAATCTCTCAAATACAAACTGCCAAAATAACCCAATACAATGTATTAAGGCCAAAGATCTGGTCTTAATACATTTTATTGGATTATTTTAGTTTAATTTAGCAGAAAATATCCTCTGCTACATTCCAAGGATAAATAAACAAGACCGTAAGTTAATTCTGAGTGATTGCTACAAATGAGCCCAGGTCAATAAACATCTCTAACTAATGAACAGAAAGTGAGATTAGAGTTTAAAGTAATACGGAATCGTGATCACCACTGATGATTGGAACATAAAAACTAACAGTCAAAACTGCATTGCCCAAAAGCAAGAATTAAAGGAAAGAAGCTGACTTCACTGACTTACATAACAAACGTTCTACTTGACAGCCACTAGTACGATAGTGAGCATCCTACCTGAAGATCATAAAGTGCCTACAGAAGTTAAAAATCCCTGCAAAAGATACTCCATCACTTGTTAATTAGCTTTCCTACCCTTCAAGACCATGTCTTTGGCAAAGGGTGAGGAAGACAGAGGGGTTTCTGGTGATATTGTGGCAGGCAGAGAAATGACTTCCCCCCTTAAAATGTCCACAGCCTAATCCCCTGAACCTGTGAATATGTTACCTTACATGGCAAAGGGATGTTCAGTTTTGATTCAGTTAAGGACCTCTGATGGGTAGATTGTCCTGGGTTATTTGGGTAGGGACAGGGCAATCGCAAGGATGCTCAAAGTGGAATAGGGAACCAGAAGAGGAGGTCAGGGTGATGAGACGTGAGAAGGACTCAACAATGTACTGTTGCTGGTTTTGAAAATGGAGGAAGCCAGGAGCCAAGGAATGCAGCTGAAAGTCGAGGAAACAGATAAGATTCTCCTCTAGAGAGTCCAGAAAGAAATACAGCCCTGCTGACATCTTGATTTTAGCCCAGTGAGACACATGCAGAACGTCTAACCCATAGAACAATTGTGTTGTTTTAAGTCATTAATTAGTAGCAGCAAGAGGAAACTAATATGGGAAACTGCTATAAAAAGAATTCTCTAAAACAGATAACTCCTCAAAAGGGTAATGTGATGCTCTATAAAATGCTCAGCAAATGAGTTAAGATTTAGTTTGCATTGTTAAAAATTATACCTGCTCCACTGTAAAAAGCGAACATGCAAAGCTTAAAACTAGATTTATGAAAAGATTGAAAGTAAATACAATTAACTTTGATTGAAAAGTTAGGTTAGCAAACAAAAGAGAACAAGGTATTTTCAACACAACAAGAAGGAGATAAAAATTAGGTAGAAAAATTGGATATTCCTTGCAGAAAACATTTAAGAGGGGACCACCACGCATCTTTTTCAATAGTCAGCCAGAAGGCAAACATTGGGATTTCTTTGGAAGCGCATATTTACCTGATGATCCTCTGGGCAGCATACTGATGGAGAGAACGAAATTGAGCCGACATATTTGCCAAAGCTGCCAAACAATTTGTGTGAAGGTACTTGTCCTGGCAGAAAACAGCAAGTTGAAAACATTCATCAAGTCTTCTCTACATTTTAAGCAAGGTTAATTAGCAGCACATGTAAACTTGATTATCATTGATTTTTGAAAGTTCAGGCCCATAATCCCTTTTCTTTAATTCCAAAATCGATAAAGCACTGAAAGTTCAAAGTTTTTTCACCACTCATTTGGAAGCGACATCTGGAACAAAAGGGTATGATGCTATTTATGGTCTTCATTAGCCCTACCCTGGTGAGTACTGAAATATTTCGCTGCAGAAATATTAATGTTTAATTACAGTGTGCTGCTCCAGGACCTGATGGTTACGTAGAGTGTAAGCATATGCACTATAATTATCTTTCTAAAATCAAAACATTCTCCATTCTATAACACATCTGGCTTCTACAGTTTCAGATAAAAGATTGTGGACATGTATCTATGTTAGCCCCACAGAGGGAAATAATTGAAAACAGCTCAATAAACTGGGCCATTTCTCTGAGCTATGAATTCTGTATATTGCTTCTCTATTGCCTGGAACTGAAATCTGCTCCCAGGTACTGCAAATACAATCCAGTCAAAATTTTCCTTTTATTCTTTAAAGTATTTTCTTTCTTCTTTTCTTTCCCAACTAAATTCATATTTTCTTGTGTTCATAGCTTCTTAGTTGTTGTTGTTGTTGCTGCTTTTAAAAGGCAAATCCGTTTTACTGGTCCAGCAAAGACTTACAACATCTCATCTAAATGTGCTCCACTGCTTGTTTTCTTATGTAAAATACCTCTAATCATAAATCTGTGAAATATTAAGAAACAGACACTATAGTACCTAAGGATCATGTGATGCAGCATCTATATGCTGATCTGTACTTTTCCACCATATTTCATGAGAATGTTCAACTCTAAATAATGAGATTGCTTTAAACTATAGTCCTCATTGTACTAGATGCATAAAGATAGAACAATAGCTATGGAATACTTACTCTTGTCCTTGTCATGTTGTATTGAATGGTTCTTATTACGACCAATATCAGGAGACTCCCCAGTGAAATTTCAGTTAAAACCCGTTCTGAATACCAAGTAATATTTTTTAATATCTGTAACAGGGAAGAAAAGTTTAAGTAAATATGAATGATTTAGGTAAAAAAGGGCTGTCCATGTCTATAATTTCTGATACGCCATGGCTCTGCTCTGAAGGTAAGTTAAACAGTATATAAAAATGAATTGTGAGACTTTCAGTTCAAGATAGCCCAACTGTAGCTGATGTGTTTACTACTCCTTCCTTCTAAATATGAAAGAAAGAAAGAAAGAAAGAAAGAAAGAAAGAAAGAAAGAAAGAAAGAAAGAAAGAAAGAAAGAAAGAAAAAAAAAGGTCTGGAAAACAGAGGAGGATATCATTAGTAGACAAAAAGGAGATATAGTTACAAGAGGTATGGCACATAAGACAAGATTGACAGAAAAACCAGAAAAAACAATCAGAGTTCAGCAGTTTGAAAGTAAAAATAAGAAAATCAAGCAGTCTCTTGAAAAGTAGAGCGGCCCCAACAACCACAGAAAACCTCCAGGCCTGTGTTCAGGAAAGGCCAAGAACACAAGGAAGTCAAAATCTTCAAGAAGACATGCACCCGTGTTCTGCCTGGCTACTGGGTCAGAGCAGGCAGCTCTGGCCCTCACCTCCGGGGCTAGGACAGCAAGAACCAACTTAAGTTGGCACAGTTCCACAGATTTGTAACACGGAAGAGAGAGAGAGACAGAGAAAGAGAAATTGGGCAATGCAGCAGCCAGTTTTGGGCTGCCACAATGAAGGAGGTCAAGGGCAGAAAAGACAACAGGCTCAGCTGAGCACTAGACCTCCCATCAGGCTCTCTTCCATGATCACTCCCACTTCCTTTCTCCTTTACTCAGGGAGTCAGCATGCCTCATTCTTCTCCATCTATGCATGAAAATAAAAAGTCTTCAGGGCTGATTCCTGCCGCCTCCACTCAGAAGATAGACTCCCGCAGAGCACAGCAGAACTCCATCCCTCACAACTGCTGAGGGACCTCCTTTCAAAACAAACACATCTAGACTTTCATTTTTAAAAAAGCCATGGAAAAAGAAGAGAAATTTAATCATCTAAAAGAGCGATATGCTACCTCTCTAATCAAGCCTCTGTTCTAATTATTAACGTATATGAAATACAGAGGAGAGAAGTACATGTTAAATAACACGGTGGTATAGTCAGCCAAAGGCAAATATAGGAAATTCTACTAAACAAATAAACCTAGTTTCTACAACAAATAAATGGTGTGGAAAGGTGGGAAAGGGAGAAACTGTAATAGATTAAAAGGAGTCTTTGGGCCCGCAGAGTGGCTCATTGGTTAAGAGTTGGCTTGGGAGTGCAAGCTCTGAGCAGCAGAGCTGCCGGTTCGGATCCCACATGGGCCAGTGACGTGGCACCCTCTACAGCTAAGATGGTGAACAACAGCTCAACCTGGAGCTGGGCTGCCATGAGTTGCCGGCGACGGCATAGGCTGCAGTGGGGCTGTCATAAGCTGCCGTGAGTGGCCGTTCATTGGCCGGAGACCGATCTGCCTCACCTGGGAAGAGTGCAATGATCACAATACCAACATGGGCCAGTGAAGCAACATCCTCCACAACTAAAGAACAAAAGGACAGCAACTTGTCTGTTCCCCTTCCCGAATTCCCCAACCCTGTTCCCCTCCACCAATTCCCCAATTTAAAAAAAAAAAAAAAAAGGAATCTTAAGAACTGCAGTAAGTGGACTTTGGAAACTGAGTCAAAGCAAGTAAAAAAAGACATTTAAAAGAGAGCTGGAGAAAATGAATTATTAATAGGTATTAACAAATTATTGTTGATTTTGTTGGCTTGATAATGGTAATATGGTTATGTATATTTTAAATTTCATGCTTGTCAGTGACATACTGAACTATTTACAAATGGTATTACCCGTACACAAGTATATACACATACAATGGAATAGCACATAGAAATAAAGAACACACTAATGATATAATAACATGGGTAAATTTCAACAACATTATGTGTGACTGAAAGAAGCCAACATAAAAGAGAACACACTGTAATTCAAGGAGGGGCAGAAACTAATCCATTGGGAGGAATGTAAGAGTTGTAGTTAACTCTGGTTCACGTGGGTACTGACCAGGAAAGCACATCAGAACTCTTCTGTTAGGTTAGAAATGCTCCATTGCCTGATCTGAGTGGTAATAACACAGGTATATGCATACGTAAGAACTCCTAAGTTATATCTTCAAAATTTGTGAACTTTCTATTTTACACTTTTTAAAAATCATATTGGTTTTTTACTCCTTATCGAAAGAAGAGTTAAGGGCTATTTTAAAAACTGACTAAACCAATACAAATATTTTCTCTCTGGTAGTACTTTACTAAATACAAGTATCAAAAAATCTGTATGTTTTATCCTCTTTCTACAGTGTCAAGATTCCTTAAATTTTGGTTTAAATGATGATCACACTATATAAGAAGCAAAAAAAAAGTTTTAGGGCCGGCCGAGTGGCGCGATGGTTAAGAACTCGCTTGGGATGCCAGAGGGCCCTGGTTCGGATCCCACACATGAGGGCCAGTGACACTGCTCTCCAGCTAAGATGCTGAACAACAGCTCAACCTGGAGCTGGGCTGCTGTGAGTCGCTGGCGACGGCGTAGGCTGCAGCCCCTGTGGCAGTGGGTTGCCATGGGCTACCGTATGTAGCCAGCAGCCAGCGTGAGCGGCCAGCAGCCAGCATGAACGGCCAGCAGCCGCAGTGAGCGGCCATCCAGAAGCCGGCGACTGATGTGCCTCACCCGGGAAGAGCGCAATGATGGTGCCAACTTGGGCCAGTGAAGCAACGTCCTCCACAACTAGACTGAAGAACAAAAGGACAGCAACTTGTCTGTTCTCCTTCCCCCAGTTCCCCAGCACTGTTCCCATCCACCCAATTCTCCAATAAAAATCTTTAAAAAAAAGAAAAAAGTTTTAATGGAGCATCAGAGAAAAGTAAGATGACACGAAAGCCCTACTGAAGGAGGAAAGAAAATATTTGTACCCACTGAAGAGTGAAACCGCTAGTCCCATCTTCCACTAGACCCCACAGCGAGGAGACTGGAAAAGTCCCCTCTGAGAACCTGATCAGCCCAAAAGAAAAGGCCTACAGAGTGTAGGGTGCCCGAGAAAGGCTATGTAGAGCAAGTCATAGCAAATAAGTTCTGCCCACACACAGACTTCCAATCAACTGTTCAGTGCCTTACTCCTAAATATGCACAGATAAGCAAGGATCACCAGACATTTGAGGAAAGCCTCCATTGTGGACCAAGACAGGAGTCATAGAAGAAAGTGGAACTGAGAATATTGCAATCTGTTTTAACAAATTTAGAAGGGATTCTTGGTTCTGCTTTAAGTATTGGGAGTTGCATTAGTGATTGGTACATGAATAAAAATGGCAAAGATGTGCTACGGAAAGATTAAAACATGTACAAGAAAGGAAATGCAATTATCATGCACTCCATCTGAACTAAGAATAACAGCTAACATAATCATAATAATGTAAAAGCTGAGTTAACCAAGAACGATAATAAGATGGAAGGAAGAAAGAGTCTACGTGCTGGAAAGGGGGCTGGGAACTCAGAGAGAATGCAAGATACACAGGAAGGAGAGCTAATGACTCATCTTCCAGCTTCCATTTAGAATATCTAAATCTGAAAAACCAAGAAATAACAATATAAGCATTTGAACCATGGACAGAGTTGAAAACTGGAATTAGGAATACAGTAGACACAGGGTCTGCTACTTTTCATTAAAACCTAGTATTTCTGTACAAACTGCCAGTTATAAAAAGTAGCCACAGAGATGTAAAGTAAAGCATAGGGAATAGAGTCAATAATATTATAAAACTACGTATGGTGCCAGATGGGTTCTAGACTTACTGTGGTGACCACTTTGTAAGGTATATTAATGTCTAATCACTATGGTGTACACCTGAAACTAACAAAATATTGTAAAAAAACCCCTATTACTTATATATAAGTTTTACACTATGTATATATATTACTTGGACACAAAGAAAATACCCAACAGGAAGATAAAATCAGTTTGGTAATGGAATGCACCAACAGGACTAAAATTTAAGATGTTACATTCTTTTAAATATAAAACAATTGATTTCTCCGTCTTCTTCCCTTTGTTCCCTATTCTTTCCTCATTCTGTATACAAGGAGCAAACCTGTTGGACAATTTCTGCCTCAACTAAAAAGCGGAAATGAAATGGAGAAGAAAAATGAACCCAGTGGCAGCAAAAACATGTGCCTCAAATACTAAAGAAACCACTCTGAGAGAGTTTTTAATAGTGGGTAATAGTCATTCAGAAAAAAAACCACCACTTCATAAATCTGAAGAAAGACACCATTTCGAAGTCAGGTTCTTGCGGAAACAGCTACCAGAGGAAAAGAAGGAAGAAATGCTAAGGCCACAGTAAATCTCATGGAGGACATGTCTATTCTGTAACTATGACTCTAACTGAAGTAATGGGAACTCACCACTTCGTGAATGGATCTATTGAAGCCATCATCTTCTGTAAGGATCAACAATATTATGAGGGCCATATATACATGGTGTGAATTTCTTTCTTCAACGTGATACAGAATCTCTAGAATTGGTAAAACCTAGGGAATATAAATTTTAATATACTGTTTCTATTACTTTACTATAAGACCAATGTCTTAATCCTTTATACTTAATTAATTATCTACCCTTTGCTTTAACTTCATAGTTACATTTTTTTCTTTAGAGGAAAAAAAAACACATGCCAGCTTCTGACTGAGTTTTTTCCACATGTACAGCGAAGATACCAGTAGAGGCAATCATCACCCTCTGTAACGGTGTGCTGCCACATGAAGGTGGGGTTTACAGGGACCATTTAGGCTCCCAGTCAACACCTGACACTGAATAGAGAGGCAGGTCTGCCTCCAGCCTGGCATGGACTTACACACAATAAAGTATTCTTAGAAACACTGTAATGTGTCAAATGTTACCTTCTTAATAACAAAGATTATAAAATAAAAGAATTGTTAATAACAACAATAACATCAGATCAGCATAGTAAATTCCTACCCATAACATATTTTCTAATCATAGCCTCAACAAATATTTATTATAGATAGAAGAAAGGTAAAAGGTCAGAGAGAGACATTAGTTAAGACACTGAAGCAATCTATGCAAGAAAATTTTAAAAATAAGTAAACAACCTCACCCTACCCTCCCACATAAAAACAAAACCTTAAACTTTTCACTGGTGTAGATCATCATATACAGAAACTGATTCCTACATCATCTTATATACCAGCACCTTACCATGGAACTTTCTAGAACAGGTGATGTCACAGGCTTTCTGCTTGTCGCTATCATTTCCCTTAGGATACATCATGCTCAGAATTGTCTCTGTGCTTATACTCAGCTATCATTAAACAAGCCTTCTCTTTACAAGTTTTTACTTACATAAGCTGTACATTGTTACGCCCAATTTTGCTATTTAAGTCAATGTTTTTCAAATATAGCTGGTAAGGAGACAAGGTTCTTTCATCACATTATTTGGTCCTTTCTGTCAGTTTGACATAGAATATGCTCTTCAAATGAATTCTAATATCCTGTATTTCTTAGTATTTTACATGGTATCTTAAACACTATAAAAATGGCTACCAAATACCTCATGAATCCTGCTATCAACCTGTAAAGGAATGCCAAGGGGACATTCCTTTTGCTGCCAGCAAGCTGCTGGCTACTTCAGGGATATTTAAAATTTTATTAATAGCCTATAGTTATCTGCATATTATGTATTTAAAATATAATAATAGAAGCACTGATGTTTACACATTAGTTGTAATGAAGTTGCCATAGGATTTTTTAATCTATGAGCAAAAATTTGAAAACAATTTCATTCACATAGTGAAGAATAGTGTACATTTAAGTGATGTCTAATAACTTATACCATTCCAGGAACTGAGTTCAGGCAGCCCTAAAATCTAAGCCTGTCAGAGGGATGGGATGCCTCAAAAACCGAGTTGAAAATCACCCTTTCTTTTAGCCATTCTCATCAGGAACATGCTGCAATTGTGACTAGCTGCATGGACCTGGTGGGCAGGCAGTTAGCAGCTGGAAAGAACCAAGAGGTCACAAACATCTTCTTGAGAATGGCAAAGGGTACTTTTTTTTTTTTTTAAGCTGCTGTTGAATAATATTATACGTCAACTATAATGTAATACATATATAGTCACAGGATGTGGAATATAGTGTGGGAGTGGAGTCAATGTAATAGATATGTATGCTATCGGGGGTGGGGGGCAGTAAATGGGGGGAGGGGGTTGTCACTTTGTAAGGGGTGAAAAGGATACCTATTACATTGTTTTGTACACCTGAAACTAATAATAATAAAAAATAAATAAAAATGAAGGTATTCTATTAAAAAAAAAAAAGAGGGTACTTCTTAGAAAACTTGATTAGGCTGAATCATGGGCAGTGACTTAAAGGACAGCAGAGCTCATCATGTTGCTGTGTTCTCTCGCTCTGTGACACCACCTCTAGGTGCTCTGTCTCCTACACTGTAAAACTCATACCTTTGCCTGTGTCTGCTGACATACTCCCCATCAGTCTCTCAACCATCACCTTTAAGTATACCCTCAGGGGGGAAAAAAAATTATTCTTCAAAATATTATAAAATACAGAAACAGCATGAACTGTTTAGTGCAATACTTACAAGATTTTCCATGTCTGTGCGAGCCAGCATGTATGTCCTAATATTACTATTCTGATGGAGCAATGTATACAACAGGAGAGTTGCCTGATCAGACGCCTGCTGTTCACACAGAGCTGTATACAAACTGTTAAAGTTAATCTGGAAAGTATGTGGAATTGACGAGGGGAAAGGGCTGTTATCTGGAATACAGAAAACACAAAAATTTTAAAATATTACATCAGTATTTTCTGGATGGTGTCTTATATAAACAATAAAAGCACTGCTAATGTATACAATTCAATTCCCATTAATTCTGTGTAAGTCACTACATTTCAGGTTCAAAAATTTCAATTTATAGTTTAAGTTTTACTTACAAAAGAACTAATATAAAATATGGTGACTACAGCTGATAATACTGTGATACATAATTTAAGTTTGCTAACAGAGAACTGAAAAGTTCTCACTAAAAAAAACAAGAAAAAAACTGGGGCACTATATTTCTTGATACTATCTAAAACCACAGCTTTCCAATGATTATAAATACGTGTGCAAGTACCACTTAACAGAGTAACTTTTTTTTTTTTTAACGATTTTTATTGGGGAATTGGGGGGATGGGGACAGTGCTGGGGAATTGGGGAAAGGGGAACAGACAAGTTGCTGTGGTTTTGTTCCTCAGTCCAGTTGTGGAGGCCGCCGCTTCACTGGCCCAAGTTGGCACCATCATTGCACTCCCTCCGGGTGAGGCAGATCAGTCACCGGCTTCTGGACGGCCGCTCACTGCAGCTGCTGGCTGCTCACGCTGGCTGCTGGCTACACACGGTAGCCCATGGCAACCCACTGCCACAGGGGCTGCAGCCCACACCGTCGCCGGGGACTCACGGCAGCGCAGCTCCAGGTTGAGCCGTTGTTCAGCATCTCAGCTGTGGAGGGCAGTGTCACTGGCCCTCATACGTGGGATCCGAACAGGGGCCCTCTGGCGTCCCAAGCCAGTTCCTAACCATTGCGCCACTCAGCCGGCCCAACAGAGTAACTTTTTATTAAAAAAATAGTCAAATGTTTCTTTAAAAAGTTAAATAAGTCATGTGGTTTGACTTCATTACTATTTTTACATTAATATAGCTGAATTAAATCAGCTATAAAAACATGAGCTTAAATAAAAAAAGCTTATGGGGCTAGACAAAAGGCCCTCTAATAGAACAATTTAACCATGCCTTTGAAATGTTTTGTTACCAAAACGAAATGACCATCAGTCCTAAATAAAAATATCGATAGACAAAAATATAAAAGTTTCTACATAAAACTGAAAATTATCATATAAGAGAGAGTTAAAAAGAAAAATCTGTCATGAAGTTAATGTTTTGGAATGAATAATCAAGGCTGAAGTATTCATCAATGTCATTAACCCATCTATGAAGGAAATAGATAGGATAACAATATATAATTTGGCTAGTTTTCAAGTAATATCAAAATTGGTTATGTTCAACATTAGCTTCTATAACAGACATAATATATCAAACCTAAGACAACTATCAGAAAACTTCTATAACGTTGTTTTGTTTAAAAGAAAACTTAAAATTAATCAACGGCAACTGAAACTTTTTTTAAAGTAGAGTCACTGGAATGGTGAAAAGCACAAATCTTGGCTGTATTGAGAAAATTCTCGATATCCCAAACTGACATAGTCCCTTTCCTACAATGAACTGGATTTGCTTAGAAACTGAAGCAGGCAAGGTTGGAAAGTCAAAAAGAAGTAAAGATGGGTCAATTGATTTTAGAGAAAATTACAGCCTCATCAGATAAAACAGTGGAACATAATAGCGCGAAGAGGTGATATTTTAATGAGTTTTGAAAAGTAAGCACCAAGAATTTTTTTAAAAGACACAGAGCCACTAGCAAAAACAACAAAAACACAATAAAATTTAAGAACACTGCTTTAACATTGCCAAACGCTGTGCTCTTAATGGAAAAGAGATGTGTGCCAATGCAATCTTTGATGGCACAGTCCTATGCCTCTCAGATTTTCCTTTCTAACCTTTACATCTGTGAGAAGAGCGCATCTAAAAAAATGTCAACTTTACTACAAAGTGCTCTCACTTCTCTTGCCACATTTAGAATAGGAGTTATTTTTTCAATCCTAACCCTGTATCTTTGACACTTACAAAATAATTGTTTTGTGTGGCTGACTTCATATTTTTCCAAGGGATGGCAAACAGAAGTGTTGCATATACTAAGAGTATGCAAATATTAGAAACTACAGAAGACTGAATGGAGGAATATTGTGGACACACTACCCCTCTTTACAATGGAAGCAAAGTAACATGTTCGCCAACCTGCATTATACCTGACTGCAAATGGAATACGTGTGGGGCGTGTGTGTATGCACAACATCTATACATTCCTAGCTAATAATTCAGTGAGTCGGTGCACAATGATGGATCCTCATTTAATTCTTGTTAAGAGCCTTGTGAGGTGGAGATTAGGATCCCTGCTTCACAAATAAAGAAACTAGTATTTATTTATTTATTTTTGAAACTAGTATTTAAAGAATAAAAACTGGGATATGAACCCAGGTCAGTTTAACCCAAAAGCCAATGTTCTGAATGGCTGTACCCCAGAGTCTCCCAAAAGATGACTATCCCAGGGAGGTTCAACTCCAAATAATAACATTTGGTCAGAGCAGCAAAAGTAACAATAGCAGATACCATATAATGAACACCTGCTATGTTGCAAAAATCTGAGCTAATCATTTAAAAACCTTACCCTGCTTGGTACTTACACAAATACTATTAGTGATATTATCTCCATTTTACAGACAAAGTTATTGAGGCTTATTGAGATTAAGCAAGTTATGAAAGGCCTCACAACACTGAAGTGACAGAAGTGTGGCATGAGGTCAGGTTTGCTTGATTCCAAAACTTGCTTTCTTAGCCATTAAGCCACACTGTCACTCATATGAGTACAGTAATGGGAATAGAAAAACACTATTAGATACATTAGTTTTCATTTTTTAGCTATCAAGTTATTAGAGACTCCCTATTCCCCTGCAAATGATAATTCCAGACTTGACAAAGCCACAACTAGCTGGAACACTCATCCACTGTCTGTACAGAACATATATTAGAACAGCTCTCCTTTCCCATTTTAATTATATTAGTGTTGGATATGTCTTGACAATCGAGCTACCATATTAATCTTGCTTTTGAGTATAATTTTTTAATAAAAGATTACTGTTGCAACATGGAACTATCTGCTCATGCTCTACTTCAGGGTTTGGCAAGTTATGGCCCACAGGCAGCCCACCACCTGTTCTGGAAATAAAGTTTTACCGGAACCATCCACGCTCGCTCGCTTATGTATTAGCTATGCCTGCTTTTGCGCTACAACGGCAGAGTTAAAAGGCAGTGACAGAGACCACATGGCCCCACAAAGCCACCTGCCCCTTTGAAGAAAATGTTTGCTGAGTTCTGTTCTAATTTTTAGTTTAATAAAACTCTAACTGGAATATAGACTTTAAATGAAAATTTTCAAACAACCTATCATTTGGAGTTTTCCGGGTTAATTTTTATCCTTAACAGGTAGGACAGGAGGATCAAATTAAGCACATGCTGGCTTGGTTATCTCTGAAATAAATGTAAATTTAAATGGATATAAAGAACCATAGCTGTCATCTAAGATTTATCTGACCTTCCTAAGAATATAGACAGAAAAATCTAAGTTATTCTCATCTGTAATCAATATGAAAATATACAAATCGACAGTCATCTCCACAACTACAAGACAATAAACAGGATGGGGTAAACAATGCCCTCTTTCCTGATTAGAAAGAATATTCAGAGGAAAAAAACACCACAAACCTTGTGTGTTCTTAAAGGACATAATGGCCTGCCGGTAGGGGTTTGGTGCGTCTGCAGCGTCTGTTAGGTTGGCCAGCACCAGCAGAAGCAGAAGACTCTGGTTGCCCAGAGGGGAAGAAAGTTCTGCAGTGGCAGCCGCCTTGCTGCCCACACCGCCCAGTGTGAAGACAGTCCAGAGTCCAGCTTGAGAAGAAAACATACATACGGTTAAGTGGTGCTGGGGCTAGTAAGACAATATATTTCTATGTAATACTCTATACTTTTTCATTTTTACAAGTTTGAAATAACACTCTCTTTTTTGATTCTGAAAGTTAAAGAAGTCTATTATTTGGAAAGTGTCATATTGCCCAAGGATATAAAATTTTTAAAGACTGTATCATTCCTTACTTCCATAGTTCCACTCCCATGTCCCATAGATAACCATTATTCAGTTTCTAATATATCTTTGTTTTTTCTTTATATCTCAAGCATACACATATTCATAACAATTTGAAAACCAAAGCAAAATATTAAAATATCTAGAAAATACAAAATACCAAAATTGGCTTGAAAGACAAAAGTACGAATCGACAAATAATCTTAGAAGAGTGCAACACAGAGTCTAAGAGCTAACTAAAAAACAAACCAACTCCAGATTTTTTTACAAATAAGTCTACCAAACCTTCAAAGCACAGATAATTCTCATATTATATAAGCAGTTCCAAAGTACAGACATGAATCATGTCTACAAAACTCATTTGACAAGGCCAGAAAAACCTCCTTGACACAGAAACTGCATAAAGACTGCATTTAAAACAAAATAGAGAAACGAATAGAGATTTTTAGATGGTCAAATTAGAAAAAAGAAAGATGAAACCCTAGAGAAAAATGTAAAAGAATAAATGCATCATGACCCAGAAGGGTTTGTCTCTGAAATACAAGAACGATTCACCATTAAATAATTTATTAATTTATTTCTCTTCATTTAAAAAAGATGGAGGAAAAGAAAATGTGGCAATCCCAACAGATGCCAATTATTTTCAATTAAACTTAAAACCTATTTTTTTTTTAAGTTTGTAGCAGACGATAGTTTTATTAGAGCAGAAAGTTACAGCTCTCGAAATGAGAGGGGGTCCCGACTGAGATGCCCCTTAAAACCTATTCTTAATGTAAAGAAAAAGAATCTTATAAACTAGAAAAGGAAACACATCTCTTGGTTTCTAAAGTCTATCTAATCAGAAATCCATGGTAGTCAAACATTGGGAGACTTTCCATTAATATTACCCACATCACCACTGTACAAAGGCCATTAAGGCAAGAAAAAAAATAAATAAAAGACCAAAGAAATGAATAAGGAAGACGATTTCATTACGTATTTGCAAGCAATCTATCTGTGCACTATCCAATCAAGTACCTACTGTGGGTTTTGGGCACTTAAAAGGGAGATCTGTAGACCAAATTATATTGTGCTGTAAGTATAAAATAACACACTGAATCCCAAATATTTAATACAAAAAGAAGTACAAATCTGTCACTAATTTTTAATATTGATTACATGTTGAAAATATAATATTTTAGATATGCTGCATTAAAGTATATTAAAAAATCAACATATAAAAACCCAAAAGCCTGCCTATATACAAGCAATGAATAATTAGAAAGTCCAATCACAATAGCAACAAATTCAGTAAAATATTCAAGAATCAACACAAAAGAAATGTGTAAGGCTTTTAGGCAGACAAGATAATATGAAATCTGAATTAATATAGAGGTACAACATATTTCTGGACAAAAAGACTGAATACTACAAAACTTCCCACACATTAATCTAAAATTCAGCATAATCGCTATCAAAATAGACAGAGGAATTTATATAATACTTTGTAATACAGTGTAAATAAAACATTGCTGGATGTGAAAATATGTAAGACAAATTTTTGAGAAGGACTAACCTGGGGAAGAATGCTCCTAGTTAGACAGCAAAATTTTTATAAAGCTCTGGTCATTTAAAATAGCTCAATGAAACAGATATGCATTCAGAAAAATGAGTTTGAGAATTAACCTTATGATACAGGTAGTATTCCAAATCACTAAGAAGAAGATAAAATTCTATAAATGTCTTTGGGACAATAGAATTTAATAATTTTCTCAGTACTGAACTATCGAAGCATGTATATAAGCCTTGACTTGAGAAAGCCTTTTTCTCAAAATTCAACAAGATATAAAAAACAATAATTTGACTACTTAAAAAGTAAATACTTTTATGTAATTAACTGTATTATAAACAAGACAAGTAACAGAGACAGAGAAAACATATGCAACATATAAAACAGAAAAGGGTTTTGTTTTTTAAAAAGACCTCCTGCAAGGAGAAAGAAAGCTAACAGTCCAAAATAAAAACAGGCAATAAAAGTCCAAAGCAACTAAAAGAGCAAATTAATTAATTTATACAGTGAGATGATCCATGAGAATAGAAGTTTTTTAAAGATGTATGACACCCAGTATGGTTAAAGGTACAGAAAATTACCAACAGTGAGGGATCAAAGTGGTACAGAATTTTTGGAAGACGTTTGGCAGTTCTCATTAAATTAAAAGTGTACATTCCCATCAACCCACCAATTTTTTTCCTTGTGCTAGAGAGCATTTGAACAGGTACACAAATATTCATGTACAGGAATATTTCTGTAATTTGTTTATAATTGTCAGATAGTAAAAATAATGTAGATGTTCACCAAGAGCAAATGGTTAATGAACTGGTTAATCCATACTATGGAGTACAATATACAGAGGTAGATATCAATGGATTCACAAGGAAATATCTCTAAGGTATGCTGCTAAGTTAAAAAAAAAGCAAGTTGCTGAAAAGTTGAGGTTAATAATTTAAAAATCACTCGCCAAATATATGTACATATGTGTAGGTGTGTGTATTTTAAAAACAGGAAGGACAAAGTGTGCATCATACTGGGAACAGAAATTACCTCTGGCATGGAATTCAAGGACTTCCACTTTATTTGTATATTTAACTTTTCTGCAATAAGAATATATTTGCTTCATTTATTTCTTTAAAAATAAATGCAAAAATAACAAAATTAAAATAACAGAACAATATAGGCCCAATCAGTATAGATTATGTAGAATACGGAAAAACCTCATCAGTTTAACATTAAGTGAAAGGCAAATCACATAACAGTGAGTGTGTGTGTGTGTGTGCGCGCGCGCGCGCGCGCGCACGTGCTTGTTCGCCCACACACACATAAAGCTCCATTTTTTAAAACAACTGTAACTCTACATATGTAAATGCACCTACAGGTGCCTGACAGGGTGCTCTGTTCACAGTGGTTACCTCTGGTCACAGAGAAGACAGGAGTGAAGGTGGCTTTAAGGTGTCTCATTTTTTTTTTCGGTGTTTACTTGTTTGACTCATTTACAACATAGATATATTCAAACATAACTTAAGCAACTCAGAAGCAATAAAGAAAGAAGTAAGGAAAAAAAGAAAAACTCCTGGTAATCAACCCTAGAAAATGACGAACACACACTGGGGCTAGAGATAAAGCCCTACGGTTTTTATTTTTACAAAGCGCCTCCTGATAATTTTGGAGGGCAGTCACCAACATATTCATGCTGATCAGATCTCGTATGGTGGCAATGGGCATGATATTTTAATATCACTTATTACAATAAGGGGCAGTGTGTTTTCCCCAGAACCCATCAGCTCCAAGTCAAGTTGTTGTCCTTCCATCTTACTTGCACAGTGTGCAGCCCACCATCCCATGCAGGAGTCAAACCAGCAACCTAGTTATCAACAGCACACACTCTAACGAACTGAGCCATCCGGCTGCCCATCGGCAGCTCAGCTCAAGTCGTTGTCTTCAATCTAGTTGCAGAGGGCGCAGCTCACTGGCCCATGTAGGAATCCAACCGGCAACCCTGTAGCTCAGAGCTCGCATTCTAACCAACTGAGCCATCCGGCTGCCCAGCAGATGCCATTTTTATAAGAGCACCTTTGTTAAGGAATGCTTTTGTAAAGAAATTTAACATGGATAGCAAGTTAAGCAAAACTCGTAGATTTGATTTTTCCAACTAACACAGGCAGATAATTTTTATTTCTTTTTTATACAGCAAACAATTCAGTGAGAACATTTGTTTCATTTTTTACTGAACACATGGTATGAAACTCCCTCACAGATAGCCTATCAATATATCATTGCTTACGTAATTGTGGTCCTGAAAATCTCGAACTTTTTCTGTGACTCACTGGAATGATTTCACGACTAACTCTTACGAAGCTTTTACTTGGAAGAGCAGGGGGGTAAACAGCTCACCCGCCCAAGTTTCAGAGGTCCCGAGGGGAGCATACAGGGAACCTCAAAGTGCCCGGCTACCTGGTATAAACCTTCAGTGAAGGTACAAGCAAACTTGGGGCCCAGGCCAAGAAATCAGCAGCAAGAACTTATTATTATTATTATTATTTTATTATTGTTATTGTTATTATTATTAATGTAGGAAGGATTTTAAGATGATTAAGGAAGACAAAAAAGTTTCTGTTAAGTATTGTGCTCCATTATTTTCATTAGAAAAATCTGTATACTTGGATTAAGAACTATCAACTAAATAAAATAACTGATCATTACACATTACAAATTTAAATTTATTCAAAACAATGTTCAAAATATAGTTGAGAAACTTGAGACATTTAGTAAGGAAATAAAAAATTATATAAGTGTAACCAATAGCCCAGTATTATTTGCTTTGGGACTGATTTGTTGTTTATCTTGACATTTAAAAAAATTTCCAGTCACTTCCTTCTACTCAGAGCATGCTCCGTAACTCTCTAACCCTATATGTACTACTGCATGTTCCAGGGTTGCAAGCAAAAAAAAAAAAAACACAATTAGAAAGCTCAATCTGCAACAAAAATAATCACAGAATGCTCTCCAAGGTAAAACATAAGTGTTTGAGGGCTTTTTGTTTTTTTGGATTCTCTTCGCAGCTGTGTATGCTCATTCCTGGGAGAAACAAGAATTGACTACCACTGGACAAATTTCACAAACAAAATTCTGATTCTCTTTTCGCACAACTTCACTCTCCTTTTTTTTTTTTCCCCTTTAAGTTTTTCCAAGAGGGCTGAGAAGCTGCTTACAATGTCAGCTAAATTAACATTTTATTGAGAAGCTATCCCCCCACTCCACCCACAAACACAG